GAAGGAAGGAAGAAAGAAAGAAAGAAAGAAAGAAAGAAAGAAAGAAAGAAAGAGAAAAAAGACTGCCCCTCTATTATTATGGAATTATAAGGAAGGAGATCACAGTGTGTTCTGAAACAAACCCTTCCAGATTTTAAAGTCCTTCTTCCAGGACCCTTCAATGTCTAATGATAGTCTGACCTGCTATTATTTAAATACATTTATGGTAAGTTTTAACAGTGGAAGCAGGCACCCCACGGATAACACGCTAAGCAGTTATAACTGAATTAGGAAGAAAATTAGGTGAGGCAGGCCTGACCCCCTGTCCTTGGGAAATATCATATTTTTTGGAATCAAAAAATCAGGACACCTGCTCTAATAAAAGGATAAAATATTGAGGAAAATCTGGTTTGGATGGTCGCAATAGTCAGAGGACTCAACTGGCACACTGTATAAAGAGAAGGCTGAAGGTACAAAGCCCCCAAAAGTGACATTATTTTCTGGAGACTTGGTGCTTAGAAAGTGAGTCCGGCTTTTATACCCACAAGGCTCTGGTTCACGGACCCTAAAATAACTAAGATCAGGAGCTCGGAGTTTGTACCACTGTGGCATTAAAAGATCTCACATCAGTCTTCTCTAGGCTAAGTATCTCCAATTCTACGAACAATTTCTCATCAACTAGGCATCTACCCATGAACATGCTTCTAAGAGATTTTACACTAAGAAGAAAATAGCATCTATGAAAATTCGTATGTGTCAGTACCACTTTAGGCATTTTGTATTTTAATCCTCACCAAAGCCTTGTGAGGTAGCAGTCACTTCCCCACTTTACAGAGGAAGATGACGCCCAGGGACTTGGGCGAGGTCACAGAGCTACTCAGTGGCAGGACTAGACTTTGCACCTGCGTCTAAGGTGGACACGTAGCACACCCTTCAAGGGCGGTGCACAGGAGGCCCAGCCACTCTCTCGTCTCCAGCATATTTTGTGGAGATGTGTGGTTCTTTGGGTAGATGTATTAGTTTCCCAGGGTGGCTGTAATAAACTACCCCAAACTAGGCAGCTTAAAACAACAGGAGTCTATTGTCTCACGGTTCTGGAGGGTAGAAGTCTAAAATCAAGGTATCAGCAGGGGTAGTTCTTCTGGGGGCTCCGAGGGAGAACCAGTTCCCTGCCTCTCTCCTGGCTGGTAGCTGCCAGGAATCCTTGCTGTTCCCTGGCTTGGGGCTTCATCACTCCTCTGCCTCTGTCATCACACGGCCGTCTTTCCCTGCGTATGTCTTTGTGTGTGTCTTTCCCTCTTCTTATAAGGATACTAGCCATGTTGGCTTTAGGGCTCACTCTAACCTAGTATGACTTCATCTTGACTGTTTATACTTGCAAACACCTTACTTCCAAATTAGGTCACATTCTGAGTTTCTGGGTAGATGTGAATTCGGGGGGTACGCTATTCAGCACAGTACAGTCAGGACACGTGACTGCTGAAAGCAGGAGGCTGGCTATGCCATGGACGCCGAGATGTGGAAGGTGGGCATCCTAAGGCAGGACGGGTGATGCAGGACAGGCTGATGATATTTTTGGTGGGCCCATGGACCAGGGCTGCTACTTTTCTTCTATATATTTTCCACATGGTTTTCCTAGTTGTGGGTGTAACCTGGACCTCTTTAAAAGTTTGATGAATTAGTGCCAAAATAGGAGGGTATTGTAAAATCTATCTTTCCTTTTTCACTACTGTTAGTTTTTTAAATCAGAAACACAACATTGGTGACCTGTCTGTTATAATCCTCAAATGTTTTATTTGTATGTAGCCTGAGGATTCTTAATCTGGAGTCCTATAATAATACGGAGTAACTGAATTTACATCAATCGTTTTGGTATCCTTGGCGCATAGTGGTGGTACAATAAAAATCGGTTGGGCATCGAAATGAGTATTTTAGGACTGAGGACAACGTTTTCAAAACTCTGAAATGGGCTGGGGGGTGGGTGGGGGATGTCTCAAGAAGGGAAACATTCCAGGCCAACTCAGTTGCTCTCCATTTAGAACTGATGTAGTTTAATGTCCTCAGGACTATTCTGCATTTAATCTCATTCATCTGCCCCATTTCCTTCCTACCCACACACCAGGGAGTCACAGGGGCAACAAGACAAACATAAAGAAATCAGGCATGTTTAGAAAAAAAAGCTTGAAGGCGCTAGTCAAGGACCTATAAAGGAATAGGGGTCACCTGTCTTCCCTAACATTGAAAACCGACAGAAATGGGAGGCAAAATGAGGGCTGTAAAAGTAGAGCTGAGTGACTGAGGGTGGTCTGGAAGTCTCTGCTGAAGGGTGATCCAGGAAAGATATCCTCATTTGAAGGCAAGACGCTAGTCCTAAGTTGGCGGGGCAGAGTATTTTCAGTGTCCAATTTGCTCCAGCATCACTATGTGTCCTATATACTTTTTGGCAGGATTTAAACAATCACTCACATTAAAAGAGGTTGCAAAGAAAGAAACGTAAACCTGGGCTCTGAAGCAGTCACAAATACACTAAAACATGAGCGGGCTTTCTCCAAATGACCGCCCCTAGCATTGCTGTGAGCTCTCCACTTTTCCCCCTCACCTTTTCCACTTGTTGCCACAGGGCTCTGGTCTCATTTTCAAGTTGTTTAATTCTGTCATCTCGTAGTTCTACTTCATGAACTAAACGATCCTTGATTCTGCGAAGCTTGGCTTTTTGGTGGTGATGTTTCTCGTGATAGTTTCTATAAAAGTAAATTTAAATATAGGCGTACCTGAACGCAGTGGAAATTTATTTTGCCTCCCCAATATGCACCTTTCTTGAGTGTCCTCTTCTTGCTTTGTCAGGGCCTGACACTAGAGGTGGATACTTGTCCCGTTATCTGCAGGACTTCTTGCCCTCAAGTAGGGGAGTGGACCAAGCATAATCTCTTAAATTACATCAGCTTTAGTCATATCCAAATCAGGAGACTCTTTGACTTCTTATCCCTGACTTCTAGATTCTGAATCCTGCTCCACTGATTCAGCCATTAATTTAAAATATTCTAGTTCTTGGTTATACCCTTGGACAGTGACATAACCCACTTCAATCTTGTCTATTTTCCAGATAACCGGGTCTGCTCTCAGTCCCCACCTTGAGTCTGGACTTCTACATGCCAATTACATACAGGTCTTGGGGGACGGTACAGCTCAAGTGGTAGAGCGCATGCTTAGCATGCACGAGGACCCAGGTTCAATCTCCAGTAACTCTTTTAAAAGTAAATAAACCTAATTACCTTTCCCCACCTCCCTAAAAAGATAAACAATTCTATATAGGTCTCTGCTCAAGACTCTTACTCTGATTCTGACATAAATTTGACTTACCACCAATAAACTCATGAAAAGATGTTCAACATCATTAGCTATTAAGAATATGCAAATCAAGAATACAATGAGAAAGGAGGGTATAGCTCACTGGTAGACTGCATGTCTACTGGGTTCAATTGCCAGTACCTCCACTAAAATAAGTAAGTAAATCTAATTACCTCCCCCCAAAACAAAAAACAAACAAAAACAAAAAATACAATGAGATATCACTTCACAACCACTAGGATGGTGAAAATAAAAAAGAAAGGTAATAACAAATACTGGCAGGGATGTAGAGAAATTGGAACACTCATACACTGCTGGCAGGAATGTCACACGGTGCAGCCTCTTTGGAAAAAGCCTGGCAGTTCCTCAAATGGTTAAACATAGAACCATATGACCCTGCGATTCCACTCCTAGGTATATACTCAAGAGAAATGAAAACATATGTTCACACAAAAACTTGTACACAAATGTCCGAAGAGCACTATTCACAATAGCCAAAAGGTGGAAACAACCTAATTCCCATCAACTGATGATTCAGTAAACAAGATATGGAACAGCTGTACAGCAGAACATTATTCAGCTATAAAAAGGAATGAAGTACTGATCCAAGCTACATGAATGAACCTTGAAAGCAGTGTGCTAAGTGAATGAAGCTAGTCACAAAGGGCCACATTTTACATGATTCCATTTACACGAAATGTCCAGAAGAGGCACATATAGAAAGTAGATTAGTGATTGCCTGGGGCTGGGGGTGGGGAGGGGAATTGGGGTTGGGGGGTGATATCAAAAGGGTTTCTTTGCGGGGTAATGAAATGTTCTAAAATTAATTATGGCAATGAAGGTACAACTAAAGGCCATTGAATTGGACACTTTGAATGGGTGAATTGTATGGTATATGAATTATATTTCAGTAAACCTGTTATAAAAAAAAAGAATCAAAATCTAAGTTACCACAAGATCTTGTGGTAGCTCACAGCAAAAAAAGAAATGTGACAATGAATATTTGTATGCTCATGTATAACTGAAAAATTGTGCTCTATGCTGGAATTTGACACAACATTGTAAAATGACTATAACTCAATAAAAAATGTTTTAAAAAAATCTAAGTTACCATTGCAAGCTACTATAACAGCTAATCTGAGTAAACAAGAAAACAGATTAAAGCCTGCCTACTACCACTAGGCAAGTCTCTCTGAAGATGACTGCGCTTTCCAAGTAAGAATACTGCTCCTCAGAAAGTGCTTCTTCAAATTAAAAATTAAGACCTTTCACTTTGAATTTATTAGGTCTACTAACACAAAAATCACTCTGAACCAGGATTTCTCAGCCTCTGCACTGCTGACATTTCAGGCCTGATAATTCTTTTGTTGTTGTTGTCGTGTACTTTGAAGAATGCTTAGCGCCTTCCTCGGCCTCTACCCACCAGATGCCAGTAGCGCCTTGTACAGTGTGACAACCCAAAATGTCTCCAGACACTGCCAAAAGTCCCCTTGCCCTGGGAGGCAAACTATCCCCTACCGAAAACCACCGCCCCGGCTAACATTCCTGGATTAGGTTTTCCCTAAGCCCACAGCGTTGGTTCTCAAACTGTGTTCAGACCAGCAACATCAGCAGCACCTGGGAACTTGTTGGAAATGCAGAGTCTCAGGCCCCCTGAGAACTACAGAATTAGGAACTCTGGGGTGGATCTGCATTTTACCAAGTCCCCCAGGGGGGTTCTGAGGCAGGCTAGTTTGGGAGAAAGCCCCGGGCATATTTGGGAGGGATCCCCTCACCACTTCTGTTTCGTTGTAAACAGACCCCTTGTGGCAGGCTGTAAGGTGCAGCTCTGGCCTTTCTTCCTTTCTGCTAACAGAACCTAATTTCATTTAGGTGTCTACAGAGATCCCTTGATCTCAAGGGAGGTGGGTGGGCCCCAGGGGTGTGTGTGTTGGGGGGTGGATTGCGCTCGTGAGACACGTAAGGCCTGTTGGGCACTTCTGGAAAAGCTGAGAACTTGAGAAAGTCTCTCTCCGCCTTGGCTGCCCTCCTGCTGAGGCTGGGCTACCTGCAGCTCCAGTCACTGCCTTGTCACCATGAGGTGAGAGCCCTAAGGACAAACCACCAGCCCGCCAGCCACGGCGGAGCAGGAGAAGGGACAAAGAGCCTGGTCCTAAACGACACTATGAGCAGCTGAATCAACCTCCACAATCATCTTTCTCCAGATTTTCTGTTATATTTTTTTTAAAAAGTTTGTCTAAATATAGCAGTCAGATTTTGTGGTGGTTGTTGTTATTCATGGTCAATTACACCCTGATATCTTACAAATAAATAAATAAAAGAAGAAAAACCACTCTAAACAAAATAGTATTCTCACGGTCTCTATTGCCTCTAAGTCCCCTGAATGCCTAGAAATTAGGATACAGCCTTTTTAACCGAAACAAAAAGTGTTCAGGGAATGAAGAATCTGCCATCACCATAGGCATGTGAGGCCACAGCCATCCAGGCCTACGATGCTGTCTGGTCCTACTGGGGCTCTGACACTCACACTGGAGGAAGCCCTAACTAAGAAGGGAACTATGTGTGCTCCAGGCTTTTGAAGACACCTCACTTGATTTTAAAGCAAACTGGTGAACTTGATGTCCTCACTCCATGAGCCAGGACTGAAGGCTGTTGCAGTAGCATTAACTCAGCAGGACTGGGGTGTTCAAACACTTCACATTCCTTGACTGGCTCCTGGGAGACAACTTCTAAGCCCTTGGAATGTCCTGCCTGATCATAATGTCTCTGTATACCTGATATGCCAAAAATATGATTTATGGTGAATGTGCTTTTGTTTACCTTGGCCACGCTGGATCAGTTTGACTTTTGGGGGTTTGGGGGAGTGGAGACTGAGTAGTTAAGGTCAGTCATTGGGGCACTCCATGTCTACCTGACTGACCCCCGATTAGATCCCTGAACGTCAAGGCTCAGGTGAGTTTCTCCGGCTGGGAACATTTCACTCATGTTGTCATACAACATCGCTGGGGAACTGAGCGCTGTCCGTACTACCCCACTGGGAGAGGACAACGGGAAGCTTGCTTGCATCTTGTCTCTCCTGAACTCTGAAGCTACGTGCCTTTTCCCTTTGCTGGTTTTAATCTGCATCCTTTCACTGTAATAAACCATAACCATGAATGTAACAGCTTTTCTGAGATTTCTAAGTTCTAATGAACCACCCAACCTGACGGTGGTCCTGGGACTCCTCACACAAAGGAAAGTTACTTCTACAGAGAAGCATCTGATTCCAGAGCCTGTACCCCAGTGCTATAATGCCAGCAAAGCGGAGCAACCCGGATACCACTGACTTATCCTGATGAAATACTTTGCTTTATATAAGAACTAGGAACCAGATGGGAGGGGGAGAGCAAAGCAGACTTATTTAGATGCTAATTCTAGTCAACTATGATGGAATAGCTACTCCGAGAGGTTCCTGTGTTCTTGGCAGTTATATCTTACCTCTAAATGTGTTTATGCAAGACTCTTCCATTTTCCAAAACAGTGCCCTCCTCTCTTCTACTTGCTGATTATAAATAAAAGAATCATTTTGAGTATTTTTCCCTTAGAAGATGAATTTAGCTGTTAGCCAGATACTAAGTGGAGAAGTTTGAGACACGCACACCAGGCTTTGTCACCAGCATGTCTCTGTGTGTGGTGGTGACTGACTGTGAAAGTTGTCCCCAATGCACTTTCTCCTTCTATCGTTATAGTCTCCCTGATTTTAGATTGGCATTTGGTTGCTCAATATATGAACTACGTTTTCTGGCTTTATCTGCAGCTAGATGAGGCCACATGAGTAAGTTGTGGACAACAGATGGAGCGGAGGTAGTGTGCCTTAAAAGAAAGTGTAACACCCTTGCCTACCCCTCTTGCTCCCTTCTTCTTGTTGTATCGAATGTGGATATGGAGTGAACTACTTGAACTATGTGGATAAAGGTTAAATATGCTGGAGCAACAAGAAAAGAGTTAAGACTTCGGACATATTGAGCCACCAGACCCATCCGGGGCTACTTATGTCTGTGCTGTTAGGTAAGAGAGAAACCGCTCCCTTTAAAAAGGCTTTCTTATTCAGTGTCTCTGCTACAGAAACTCAATCTCCATCCTACCTAATAAAGTTGGTTTAGATACCTGGGTCCATAAAGCTGCCTTAGGCCTGTTCAGTTCTGTGGCCTTGGCAGCATTCATTACATAACATAAGGTCCATATTCTTGCAGATTGTGTTCACAATTACTGCTGCCGTGACTTAAGAGTCTTTACAGGGAGGTATTTCCATCTCATAAATGTTCTCATTTTCCCTTATACTAGGAAGAGCTTGGCAAAAGATATCACTGAGTTTCAGCATCCTTTGGTCCACAGCTTCAGAGGTGTAACACCATCGAGCATTGCACAAACAGCCTACCTGTTGTCCACTGAGTTTTCCAGCTGTTCACAGTTCCTCCGATGTTTTGACATCATTTGAAACAGAAAATGTGTTTTTGGAATTTCTTTTGCTCATCCTCCCCTGAGATATTAAAACCCACATCTCTAGCTTCCCATGTCAGACAGCTGCTGTCTCTCTTATTCTGCCACTTGGACTATAACAAAAATTAATTTATTTTTTAAAGTAAGATGATAAACAAGAGAAATTTGGGGGAAAAAAACCCAACTCCCATATGATCAGTATAATAATATTGCTGTATTTCCTTTGTCTTTTTGTAAGTACCTTTTGTTTAAACACTGTTCATATTAAAATTATCTTCTGCTCTTTTCATTTATTATGTCACAAGCATTTTCCCACGTTGTCATCTAGTCTTCATAGTCACCATTGTTTACAGTTCTATTATGTTCCATCAAGTCAATTAGACTTGACCTAATAGATTAGCTCCTACTGCGTGATAGTGAGGCTTCTCCCTGTAGCGTTAGGTATGGTTGGAAGAGTGTGTGGATGCAGTACAGCTGGTGAGGGCTGAGAGCCTTTCCTTCCGTAGCTGGCTGGGTATCTGGCACACCTGTCAGTTTGGTCAGACGTTCTGTTGGCCGACTTGCCTGAAGAACATGTGAATTTTCTAAGTTTATTTTTGGCTCTGTTAACTACTAGCAGCAGAAGATGGCACAATACTCATGTTCTAAAATTTAGGGACAACTTTCACTTATGTTTAAGTAAAACCAGATGGTCTATCTTTGATTTCTATTTCAAAGAGGCAAGGAATTTGTTCCTCTGGAAGAGTAGCTGGGAAAACATGGAAGAAATAAGCATTGTTTGTGAAGGTCAGGAGTGGGATTGGAATGAAAGCAAAAATGAACCTAGAGTTTTGACATTTTCTTCCGTAAAGCTGTAGTTTTCAATCACATGGGAGTGCTTTTAGAAAAAAACTGATCCCTGCATTCTGTTGTCACAGACTCAGATTTAATTATGTTGGGGCCTACGTATGGGCAGGACCCACTGTCCTAAAGGCTGCAGACAAATAGCATGGAAGACTCCTCAGCTTCCCTAGCCATCAAAGAAATCCAAAATAAAACGACAAGTAAGTAACTCATGACTATAACTGAGCGTTAAAAATCACAGAATAAGTGGAGCGAAAGAAGTCGGACGCAAAAGATTACAGGCAGTATGATTTCATTTTGACGAAATTTTAGGAGAGACAGAAGTCAGAGGAGTGAATGCCCAGGAGGAGGTGGAGGAGCAGGAGACACTGACTGACTGCTTAAAGAGAGGGAAGAACTTTAAGGGATAACAGAAATGTTCTGTATCTTGATTGCGGTAGTGGTTAGGTGGGTGCACACATTCGTCAAAACACATCAAATTGTACATTTAAAATCTGTGTATATGTAAATTATACTTCAATGAAAACAAAGAGCATTGGGAAAGTTTTCATCAGAGCCCTTCCCCACAAAAGTAGCACCCATGCTAAGGTGGATGCAGTGAAATTCCTACTCTCGTATAATGATGGCAAAAAATTTTGGTAGGATGCTTCTGAATGTTTGTTAATACACTTTAAGATCCATAACACCAGCTTTTGGACTAGTACTTCTATATCTAGGAATTTACTCTATAAAAATAGTTTTTAAAATGAAAAATATATATACTAAAATGTTTTAAGTATTATTCTGAATAAAAATATCAGTCATAGGGCCAGTGGGTAATTCTTCACTAAATCAGGGCTACGTTGTGAGGGTTGATTCCAGCAGGACTAGAATGAACTTGAGCTGTTTCGCTGAAGTTCTTGCTTGGGGCTGACCACTGGTCAAGGAATGAAACATACTGATTCAAACAGCGTTGCTTTGTAACCACAGGTCTGAGAAGTTTCACAGCAGTTTGCACCAGCTTGTCAGCACTGTTTATTGATCACAGTGAGGTTGACCATCTACACCTGGTCTGAGTGAGATCCCAAGAAGGCAGTGCTCCTGAGGCTGGTTACATACCAGGAATATGCTTATGGGGCCAGTAGAATGTAAAAACTCTCCACTGAGACTCCATTTGGGATCCCTGGTTATGAGGTGGTCAGTGTACATGCTGGTGGTTTCTGATCTGAGAGAGGAGGTGCATCCAGCCACAGTCCATACAGAGGGCGGATCCTGGAGCTCCTGCCTGGTCCCTCTGGACCCACTGCCGTGAGAGCCATGGGCTCTGTACTCTTGATCTGGCACTTCGTTCTCTCTGCTCCCCCTACTAGCAAGATACAATGTGGAAAGAGCTCTGTGTAGGTTATCAGAAAACTGAGGTCTAGTCTTAACTTTGTCAGCAGCATGAGCTGAACCATGCATAAACCTTTCTGGGTTTCTATATTTCTCAGTGGTATGATCATCAGAGCAAGGTAATGAATATCAATGACTCAAGAATTCTCTGCTATACAGCAGAGAGTTGTCTTTAAATCATTATCATTACTACTATCAACATAGTAGGTGGGTGAGAACATAAGAGAATAAAAAACTTCCATCTCTAAAAGGAACAAAGCAGAAAGATGCAGAGCTAGGAGTAGAAAGGTGGTTAATGGAGGGAAAAAAAAACTAAAATAAGTAGATTTGGTAATAGTAACAGCTGTGTGCTAGACACTTCTAAGTAAATGCTTTACATATACTCATTCATTTAATTCTCACAACAACTTTATGAGATAGGAATGGTTACTTTGCCCATTTTAGAGATGAGGTACCTCAGGCACAGAGAGGCTACTCAACTTGCCCAAGGTCACACAGCTAGTTCCTAGTAAAACCAGGAATTGTACCCAGGCAGTATGACTCCAGAGTCCATACTCTGAACTACCACACTACACTTCAGAGAGGAGGAGAGCTGGAGGAATCTGGTGGGATGATGGGCAGGAAATGGAAGAAAGAGAAGGAAGTTTGGGAACATACACTTTTATTGAACACCTGCTATATACCAGGGACTGTGGATTAAAAGATGAGTGAGACCATGGCCCATGTCCTCTAAAAACCTAGTCAGGTGAGGAAGACAGGTGTGAATCATATTATATCAAAACAACATGGCAAGTTCTTAAATAATTACAGAGAGTCCCATACAGAGGGCTAGAGAGTCACAAAGAATGAGAACCTTGCCAGCCCGGGCTGGGTGTGTCAGGAAAGGCTTCTGAGAGGAGGTGACTCTCAGTGGAAGAATTAAGAGTTGGAATGGGGAGACTGACTGGTCCAGGCTGAGGAAAAGGATGAAGAGCCTCATGGCAAGTGAGGGGGTGTATTTGGGGAAGAGCAAGAAGTTAGACACCATGAGAGCTCAATAAATAGCACTCCCCTTCTCCCTGTCTCTCCTGGAAAGAAACTGGTCCCCACACTTCTCTTGGAAAAGCCCTGAGGACAGAACTTCTAAGAACGAAGGAAAAGGGTATTGGCGTCCTTGAAAGGCCGCTTCAGCGAGCATCCCCTACCTAGGCCTGGAGCTGACGCCCTAAGACGCAGCTACTCTACACAGTGGTCTTCCAGAGGAAACTTGCTGTTTACCTCACGTGGACATCCAGCTGGTTCAAAACTTTCCCGTACTCTTGATGTAGAGCTTCCTTCTCCTGTTGCAGCCTAGACAGCTTCTCTGACAATTCCTGGTTGCTCTTGAGATGCTGAAAAACATTTAAAAAAAAATGAGAACACTGCTGAATAAAGGTATGATATTTAGGGACCGTAAACCAGCAAAGCCTTTCTGCTGAAAAAGGCTTACAAGAGGCTTCAGCTTCTGAAACCAAAGTAGCTTCCTGTGCTGTCTGCACTTTCAGAATTCCGGAAGCCAGCTGCTCTTTTCCTTGACTTTTGCCCCCCTACCCACCAGCTTTCCACTAGTTTTGTAAGCATTTAATTCTATTCGTAAAAAAAGTCTTCCAGCTTGAAGTATGTAGAGTGCAAGCTATTTTCTGACCCAACCCTGACTAATGAAGTATTTGCTTTTAGAAGTGGCTCCAGGGAATCTGGGATTGGTATCTGAGCTGTTAAGATTTGAAGGCAGTATTAATCCTGCCACTAATTCATGACAAAAGATCTGATTAAAGATCTGCCTGTGCTTTGGCAGATCACATGACTGATACAAAGCATGTTATAGCAGGACAGAGATCTCCAAGGAGTGGTGGGTGGGCTCTCACGTCTGGCCATGTTAATGAGCTTACAAGAAGAAAATGTCTAGAAAAATTTAGTTATTGGAACAAGGCACAGAGACCCGGACACTTCTTTCATATCAGCAGCAGGTCAATATATCCAAAATCCAAATCCCAGATTTCATCAAGTAGGTTTCAAAACTGTAGCACAAGTTGATTTCATAGCCTTG